GGAGATCGGAGCCCAATGCCCTCTGCAGACTCTTCCAAAACTGTGATGTGAATCGAGGGTCACGATCCGAAATGATAGACGACGGTACTCCATGTAGCCTGATGATCTCGTGGATGTATAACTCCGCTAATCGCTGGAGTGAGAAGTCACGACGAATGGGGAGGAAATGTGCTGACTTGGTCAACCGATCAACGATGACCCAAACTGTGTCGTGCTTACGTGGTGACAATGGCAGTCCCACGACGAAATCCATCGTAATGCGATCCCACTTCCACTCGGGAATGGTGATCTGCTGAAGCAATCCCGAAGGAACCTGGTGCTCGGCCTTGACCTGCTGACAAGTCAAACACCGCGACGTGAATTCAGTGATCTCCGGCTTCATCGCGAGCCACCAGTAATGTCTCCTAAGGTCCTGAAACATCTTGTTACTACCCGGGTGCATGGTATACACAGTGCTGTGTGCTTCACGAAGCAGGCGTTCTCTCACCTCCCCCGCTGGCACAACCATACGCTCCCGATAGTACAAGATACCATCACGAACTGCAAAATCCGGCTTCTCTCCTCGAGAGACAAGCCCAACGGTCTCGATACAGAAATCATCACTACTCTGGGCTGAGGCTATCTGCTGCTGTAATGTAGGCTGGACATGTAGCACAGCTAGAGTCTTACGACTAAGGGCATCGGCTACCACATTTGCCTTACCTGGATGGTAAGCGATGTGACAGTCATAGTCCTTAATCAACTCTAACCACCTCCTCTGCCGGAGATTCAGATCCTTCTGCATCAACAGGTACTGAAGACTCTTATGGTCGGTGAAGATACGCGTCGTCTCACCGTAGAGATAATGCCTCCAGATCTTCAAAGCAAGTACAATAGCTGCTAACTCAAGGTCGTGCGTCGGGTAATTACACTCATGTGGCTTCAACTGCTGGGACGCATAAGCAACGACCTTGCCCTCCTGCATGAGAACACACCCCAAGCCGTTATGGGACGCGTCGCTGAAAACCGTATACTCCACTCCTGGAGTGGGCTGGACTAGAACGGGTGCCTGGGTCAGACACTTCTTCAGTCGCTCGAAACTCTGCTGACAAGCGTCAGTCCAAATGAACTTGACGTCCTTCCTCATCAGTTTGTGTAGTGGCAATGCTATATTGGAGAAGTCCTTCACGAACCGTCGATAGTAACCCGCCAGTCCGAGAAAACTCCTCACCCCACGTGCATTCCGCAGAGTCTTCTGTTGAAACACGGGCATGTCACGTTTTCGTACTAAAGCCGTGTTTGTTTTTATGACAGGTTTTGATAATGCCAAACCGCCGTGATCAAGTCAAACTTTGAATATACAAGGCGAAGAAGGAAGACAAGAACAAGATTGGTTATCGGCTATGGTTTTTGGCGTCCGAACCAACCAAGTGGTTTTCAACTTTTTATGATTGGGTTTTACTCTTTGGCATGTTTAAACGGTTCCCCAACAAAAACACCTTGAAAACCATCTTTCGTTTTTGGTTGTTTGACAAAAATCATTCAAAACGACATAAAACTTGGCTAGCCGTGGTTTTCACATAAATGACGTGGTTTTTAAAGTGTCTTACTCGATTTATTAGCCAAATACATCCACCCATCGCTGTTAGAGCCTTGGTGCAAAATTACCACAAGGCAGAACGACCTTGCCCAGCGATGGGAAGTCTATCCCATCGATGGGAACCCAGCGATGGTAAGGGTATACCATCGATGGGAAGGCATGGCCGTTGGTGGTCATTAAAGGTTGATTCTTTCCTTGTTTGGAAGTCAACCTCCCACCCAGCGATGGCAAGCTTGTACCCATCGATGGGTAGGTGACCGTTGCTTCAAAACTGAAGAAAAATTGGCTTACCAGCGATTTGATTCTAAACATCGATGGGAAGCCAATATTCTGCAGATCCCAAATCTTTTCAATCCCATAAATCAAGCTAATCACTCCTTTAATGCATTGGTCCGTTGGAGCCTAATTTTGCACTATAAAAAGGGGTGTTTGGGTCTGCTTTTCTCACCAATTCACTTCACTTTATTGATATTATCATTTCATCCAAACAACATTATTTTCCATAGCTTTCTAGAGCCAATTTGTGAAGTTTGAGTTGTTCTTGAGCGTATATAGTTTACTCAACATCTACTCTTAAAGAGAGTCTTGTTCTTGAGTGTTCTTAGTGTTGTAAACACGTTTAGGGAAGCTTGTTTCCCTTGGTTGTACGAAGGAAAGGTATTTTCCTTCGGGTTGAAGTCTTGGAGTGC